AACCCACAACCAGCTACCCAGTAACACCAGAAGGGAGGACAACCCCGCCTCCCTCCTCTGCATAGAAAACCCCCCTACCCCAAACCCTCCCTGCCCCCACTCAAATGTTCAGCCAAATCTCCCTCCCCCCACACCCAATCCCCACCCTTCTACCCCTCCCCTCCTCCCGAGTCCTCCCTCCCCCCCTTTCCTTCCCATCCTCCCTCCCCTTTCACCCCATACCCTCCCTGTCCCTCCCCCTTCACTGGATCCCCCGCCCCTCATCCCAGTATCCTCTGAGACCCTGTTATCCACCTCACAGGTCCTCACACCCATGGAACAGCCTCCCCCACCAGCAGAACACTCACCAAGGAGGCGATTTGAGAAGGGACAGAAGAAAGTGAGCCTCAAAGCGATGTACACTAACATAGATGGAATTACAAATAAAGCAAATGAGCTTGGAGAACTGATACTAAAGGAAAACCCAGACATAATAGCCCTCACAGAAACAAAGATCACGAAAATGATAACAAACGCAGTGTTCCCACAGGACTATTATGTTATGAGGAAAGAGAGGGAAGGAAGAGGTGGGGGTGGTGTAGCTCTGCTGGTAAGAAAAGGCTGGGATTTTGAGGAGATGGATATTCAGGGCTGTGAAGGTTTCAGTGACTACATAGCAGGTACTGTAACAAATGGAGGGAAAAAAATTATAGTCGTAGTCATATATAATCCACCACCAAATGACAGAAGACCTAGACAGGAATATGATAGAAACAACATGGCCACCATTAACATAATAGAAAGAGCAGCTTCTGTTGCTAGCAGGAATGGATCTGGACTACTAATTATGGGAGACTTCAACCATGGGAAGATAGATTGGAAGAACAGAGACCCGCATGGAGGACCAGAAACATGGAGAGCTAAGCTGCTGGATGTGGCAACAAGAAACTTTCTAAGCCAGCACATCAAAGAACCGACAAGAATGAGAGGAGAAGATGAACCAGCAATGCTTGATTTGATATTTACCCTAAATGAGTGGGATATAAGGGAAGTTAAGATGGAAGCACCCTTGGGAATGAGTGACCACAGTGTATTGAACTTTGAGTACCTTGTAGAGCTAGGACTTATCTCCCCCAAAAAAGAACTAAGAATCAAAAGGCTGGCATACCGAAAGGGGAATTATGAACAGATGAGAAGTTTCCTAAGTGAAATACCTTGGGACACAGACCTCAGAGATAAGTCTGTACAGGGTATGATGGACTATGTTACCCAAAAGTGTCAGGAGGCAGTAAACAGGTTCATCCCGGCCCAAAGGGAAAAATCCGAGAAGCAACAGAAAAATCCATGGTATAATAGGGCATGTATGGAAGCGAAGAAACTGAACAAAAGGGCGTGGAGGAACTTCGGAATAACAGAACACCAGAATCAGAGAGAGAGATACCAGAGAAACAGGAATGAATATGTCAGGATGAGAGAGAAGCAGAAAGACAATACGAAAATGACATCGCAAGCAAGGCAAAGACTCAGCCTAAATTGTTGCATAGCCACATTAGGAGAAAAACAACAGTAAAGAACAGGTTATGAGATTAAGGATAGGGGCGGAAGGATTCACTACAAATGACAAGGGAAGTGTGTGAGGAATTGAATAAGAAATTCCAGGAGGTCTTCACCTTAGAACAAGGAGAAATTCCAGAGGTAAGTGAGGAATAGCTAACCAGAACCACTGGAAGAGTTTGAGATTACCAGTGGGGAAGTAAGGAAGTGTTTACTAGAGTTGGACGTGACGAAGGCTATAGGCCCAGATGGAATCTCGCCTTGGGTTCTGAAGGAAGGAGCAAGAGGCACTTTGCTTGCCACTCTCCATAGTGTATAGTAAGTCACTGGAGACGGGAGACCTACCAGAAATATGGAAGACGGCGAATGTGGTCCCAATATACAAAAAGGGGACAGGCAAGAGGCACTGAACTACAGGCCAGTGTCCTTGACTTGTATACCATGCAAGGTGATGGAGAAGATCGTGAGAAAAAAACTGGTAACACATCTGGAGAGAAGGGACTTCGTGACAAATCGCCAACATGGGTTCAGGGAGGGTAAATCTTGCCTCACAGGCTTGATAGAATTCTACGATCAGGTGACAAAGATTAAGCAAGAAAGAGAGGGCTGGGCGGACTGCATTTTCTTGGATTGTCGGAAAGCCTTTGACACAGTACCGCATAAGAGGCTGGTACATAAGCTGGAGAGACAGGCAGGTGTAGCTGGTAAGGTGCTCCGGTGGATAAGGGAGTATCTAAGCAATAGGAAGCAGAGAGTTACGGTGAGGGGTGAGACCTCCGATTGGCGTGAAGTCACCAGTGGAGTCCCACAGGGCTCTGTACTCGGTCCTATCTTGTTTCTGGTATATGTAAATGATCTCCCGGAGGGTATCGATTCATTTCTCTCAATGTTTGCGGACGATGCTAAAATTATGAGAAGGATTAAAACAGAAGAGGACTGTTTGAGGCTTCAAGAAGACCTAGACAAGCTGAAGGAATGGTCGAACAAATGGCTGTTAGAGTTTAACCCAACCAAATGCAATGTAATGAAGATAGGTGTAGGGAGCAGGAGGCCAGATACAGGGTATCAGAATGGGAGAGGAAATTCTTCAGGAGTCAGAGAAGGAAAAAGACTGGGGGTTGATATCACGCCAGACCTGTCTCCTGCAGCACATATCAAGCGGATAACATCAGCGGCATATGCCAGGCTGGCCAACATACGAACGGCATTCAGGAACTTGTGTAAAGAATCATTCAGAACTTTGTATACCACATATGTCAGGCCAATCCTGGAGTATGCAGCCCCAGCATGGAGTCCATATCTAGTCAAGGATAAGACTAAACTGGAAAAAGGTTCAAAGGTTTGCCACCAGACTAGTACCCGAGCTGAGAGGTATGAGCTACGAGGAGAGACTACGGGAATTAAACCTCACTTCGCTGGAAGACAGAAGAGTTAGGGGGGACATGATCACCACATTCAAGATTCTGAAGGGAATTGATAGGGTAGATAAAGACAGTCTATTTAACACAAGTGGAACACGCACAAGGGGACACAGGTGGAAACTGAGTGCCCAAATGAGCCACAGAGATATTAGAAAGAACTTTTTTAGTGTCAGAGTAGTTGACAAATGGAATGCATTAGGCAGTGATGTGGTGGAGGCTGACTCCATACACAGTTTCAAGTGTAGATATGATAGAGCCCGATAGGCTCAGGAATCTGTACACCTGTTGATTGACGGTTGAGAGGCGGGACCAAAGAGCCAGAGCTCAACCCCCGCAAGCACAACTAGGTGAGTAAAATTTGGTGTGTACACACACACACACACACACACACACACACACACACACACACAACACACACACACACACACACACACACACACACACACACACCACGTATCGAGGGTAAACAGCTGTCTAATTTCCAGGTACCTAGTAGTTACTGCTCGGTGACATCACATTAACATTTACAGAGAGTAGGGAATTAATTAGGTATTTGGGAGCTAGTTAACTGTTGTGGGATGTGATATCTTGAGGTACTGTATACAATGTTCACAACAGAGCAATGTATAATCATTTCATTGTATACAACACATTGAGAAAGAATGAAGGTTAGATCCGAAAATTATTGTGTGGCTCTCTCATGACTTGTTTCCGGCGCTAAGAGTTGTGAATTTACATGAAAATGTACCAATAAAATCTTGTTACATAGCAGTAGGAGTAACATTTACTCCCTAGGTCCACGAGTCTAATTAAAGCGCTGTCCACTCGGCCACCACCTCCCTTATGAGAGGGAGAGAGTGAGTGTGTGTGTGTGTGTACTCACCTAATAGTGCTTGGGGGGTTGAGCTCTGGCTCTTTGGTCCCGCCTCTCAACTGTCAATCAACTGATGTACAGATTCCTGAGCCTACTGGACTCTATCATATCTACATTTGAAACTGTGTATGGAGTCAGCCTCCACCACATCACTTCCTAGTGCATTACATCTGTTAACTATTTTGACACAGAAAAAGTTCTTTTCTAACGTCCCTCTGGCTGCTCATTTGGGTACTCAGTTTCCACCTGTGTCCCCTTGTTTGCGTACCACCCGTGTTAAACAGTTTATCTTATCTACCTTGTCAATTCCTCTGAGAATTTTGTAGGTAGTGATCATGTCTCCCTTACTCTTCTGCCTTCTAGTGTCGTGAGGTGCTTTTCTCGCAGCCTTTCTTCGTAGCTCATGCCTCTTAGTTCTGGGACTAGCCTAGTGCCATATCTCTGAACTTTTTCAAGCTTCGCCTTGTGCTTGACAAGGTACGGACTCCATGTTGGGAATTTATTACTTGTAACTATATTTAAATAGTTACTATATAAGTTACTTTATGTAAATTATTTTAGGTACTATTTAATAGTTACTATACAGTATTTGAATATGTAACTATATATAATTAAGAATTTATAATGTTTAACTATATTTAAGTAGTTACTATACAAGTTACTTTAGTTACTATATTTCAATAAGTAACTATATATATTTCAGAATTTATTTCTTGTAACTTTAAAGTTATTAATAAATAAGTCCTTGCATAAGATGAAATCATTATAACTATATAATGTATAATAAAAAATGGTAAGGCCAATTATAACATGATGCTCAATAAATACAAAATACAGTTCAGAAAATACTGTAGTAATTGTTACAAAACTGTCAACAGTAATGGATACATTATAAAAGATAAACAACAGATAATTTGAAGTCATTTACTTTTCATAGCAAGATATAGCTGATTCAGAAACTTTGTTTTTAAGACAAATTAAAAAAAAACATGATGTTGAGAATTACTGTATAGAGGTGACATGTATATTGGCAAAGTAGGAAAATTAGTAAAATACATATACAGTACTGTATATCATTTGAAATTTGAAATTTTAAGGCTAAATTTATCATTAATCATCCATAAAGGTCAAAGAAGACTAAAGTATTTTAAATTTGTAATACAGACTATGTAAACAGGATGGTGGCTCTAATTTGAGGATCTTTCAGGAGTGTTTACTGTGTAGAAAGCAGCAACACCAGCTCAGGATGGGACCAATGCCACAGCTCTCCCAGGGACCATATGTAGCTGTTCCCATGGTTCCCATGGACGACACTGATGGGTAGGTATATATTGTACGATAATTTGCTTTAATTGTTATTCTTTCGTAACTGTTCCAAAATAGTAGTACAGTAGTAGTTCTGGATTTGATAGACTTGATTTATAGATAATACTTTGCCTGTAAGGACCTTTTCAAATGCTGTTTAGCTTTGATAAATCCCCTACAAGCAAAATTTCATTTACAAATAAGTCTACTCTAAACTTCTGTCTGTTTCTCTGTCATTGTCATCACCTTGTGTTGTGTTCAACTGTATAGAGTATTTACAGTAACTCTGGGTATCAATTTCAGCCCATATTGTATTGACTTTTTTCATTCTTTTAATTTACTTTCTTTGAGTGACATTACTTAATTAAAACTTACATGAAAACATATCTCGTTTGATTTATTTTTTAGATTTTTATGTTCATCTCAACTGAGAAAACATTTATTGTATTTTGAAAATTAATTGTAATATTACAGTAATGATAAAGCATTAAATTTATGTTATCTTTCAGAAAGAGGAATAATGAAACTAATGCACTTGTCAGAGCAGTTAATCTAAAAGTTTATCAGCTGTGTCAGAAATTAATAGAAGATGGTGAAGATGTTAAATACATAAATGAAAAAGATGGGTCAACACTGCTTCATATTTTGGCTGAGAAATACTCCAAAAGAGAAACCAGAGCTCAGAATATACCTTCTCTCCTACTACAGCATGGAGCAGATGTAAATGCTATGAACAAGAAAAGAGAAACCCCTCTCCATATTGCAGCAAGAGAGGGTCTTACTGACTTTTGTGCCGTCTTGTTGGAACATCAAGCTAAAGTAGACATAAAAAATATGAACCAAATGACGCCTTTACATTTCGCTGCTCAAAAAGGGGAACTTGACACTTTGAATTTACTGATACAAAAAGGAGCTAATCCCAATATTAAAGACAACCAAAAATACCTTCCACTTCACTATGCTGCTGAATGTGGTTATCATGAGTGTTGCAAGGTGCTTGCTTCTTTTTACTCTGTTGGTAGAACTCAAGACAGGCAAGATATTCCACCTGTTATGTTGGCAGCAAGGAAAGGTCATTATCGATGCTATAAAGAAATGGTTGATGCTAAAGCCAACATGAATCTCGACTACAAAGATGGTGTAGGCAATACAGCACTTCACATAACAGCAAAGTTAGGATTTGAAAAGTTTGTTGACTTACTCCTTGAAACAGGTGCTCCTCCAGACATACAAAACAATGTTGGGAACACACCAGTAATGGAAGCTGTCATAAAAAATAAAGTAAATTGTGTAAAGGAACTGATAGAGAATGGAGCTGTAGTTAGTATCAAGAATAATGCTAAACGCAGTGTTCTTCATTTGGCTGTTGCAAAAAAGGCAGATGAATGCATGGAATACTTGCTAACTATTGACAGAGTAAAGGACATATTAAATGAAAAAGATAATGATGGCTTTACAGCTCTTTTCATTGCAGTAAAGAAACACAGTGAAAACTGTGCAGTTTTACTTTTGAATGCTGGTGCATCACCTTCAGTTAAATCCCAACACAAGTTATGTCTTCTCCATCTTGCTGCAGAGAATTCTAAACCAATATTTCTAGAAAAGCTTCTAGCAATGCGTGTGTTTGATGTAAATGTCACCAACAAAGATAATGAGACTCCCTTACATATGGCAGCCCGTGCAGGTTCCAGGGAGGCATGCCAAATGCTTTTCTGGAAGGGTGCTCAAGTAAATGCTGTAGACAAAAATGGTAAGACAGCCTTGCACATAGGTGCTTATCATGGCCACTCTAGCATAATCAGGCTACTCATAAAGAATGGTGCAAATAAACGTGCTAAAGATGATAGCAATTCTACAGCCTTACACGCTGCTGCAGCTAAGGGAAATACAGAGTGTTGTGAAATACTGACTGATGCTGATAAGTCACTCTATAAAGAACAAGACAGGAGTAAAAAATATGCTCTAGATATTGCTTTTCTTAAGGGCCATTATGAGGTCTTTAAGCTTCTGCTACAAAAATTGCCGTATAGAAATATCGACAAAATGCCACAAGATCTGCAAGAGCATCTCCACTCCTACACACATAAAGCACTCAAAGATAGAAAAAAGTAAGTTCCTTATCTGTTCCTGATTAATTTTGGACTAATAAATATAGATATCTTAGTAATATCTGTTAGTGAAGTTTAATGTTGAATAATATAATGATACTCTAAGGGCTCATTCTTTTACAGAATTTGTAAATGCATGAATATAATTTTATATTATACTGTCTAAGCTTAGTAATCCAAATCATATGGGGCTACCCCCATTTGAATTAACTGAATATTCAACTTGGACATTCCTGGTAAGATATTTGACCGAAAATGAAAAAAATTGCAATTTATGGGATTAGGTCCAGTGGTTTCCCTGAGATGGCTCCCCATTACTAGGTCACATCAGTTGCAGGAGTCATGTTTGGTCTAACTTTCTTGTAACTTCAACTGTCTACTGTCTATTGGGCACCAGAGCCAAAACCTGGCCCCCCACCCCCTCACAGAGGCACATTGAGTAAGGGGCTATTATCATCACCTCTCACTGGGAAAGCATCCAGAAAGTCAGCAAAGCTTTAATGACAGTTGTAAAATTCATAGATAATGAAACATAGAAACTGCCAAACGACTTGATGTTGTGAGCCAAGCCTGGAACCCTAGCCCACAGCCATTTCCAGTGATCAGTTCTGTCACTAATGTAGGTGACACTACTTGTAGTGCTCTTTGAGTCCACCTTCACAAAGGGTCCCTCCGCTTTTCAGCTTAGTGCTAGCCATCCTTTGCACTTATCTTTATGGATGCCTTGTGTCTGGGTTGGGGGCTTCATGATCAGTGCTCACCAGACTGCCCAGAGATGGTGGTCATGCCCATTTCTTCAGGCGCATAGCACTGTGCACGAGTTTGCAGTTGTGTGGCATGCCCTGCGGAAGACTCTGCTTCACTCCGACTACTACAAGGTGGTTCATTGTCTGAACCGAGGCAAGTCGTTTTGATCCATTGCCCTGTGGAGCTGGCTTCTCAGAGTATGGTTCTCTGTGCAGTTCATATGCAGGGTGTGTCTAATATTCTTATAGATGGGCTATCTCACTTCCATCCCATTTCCACAGAGTAGACTGTCAGCAACACATCATTCCATTGGCTTCATGAGATGTTCATTTGCGCTGGGGTGGACCTCTTTACATCTGGGTGGAACCACCTTCTTCCTTCCTATGTGGCTCCAATCACAAGGCTCTCACATTCGATGCCTTTCAACTGAACTGGTCGAGGCATTGGTGCATTTACCTGAATTTACCTAAGGGCCACTAATACTAGTGGCCTTTACGAGGACAGGAAGCTGGCGGCTTGTCAAAGGTCCCCCATTTGCCCTGATGATCTTTTCTATCCATTTTTAAAACCCAGCAGTTTTGGCGTTTACGGCTTCGGCGGGAAGGCAGTTCCACAGGTATACAACCTTATGGGTGAAAAAGCACCACCTGTTTTCTGTCCTACCTTGTGACTTGTTGAGATTAAACCCGTTGCTGCTCGTTCATGTTACATCTGACCTTTTGAAGAACATGTCGGGATTGACATTGTCCAAATTGTTTAGTATTTTGAAGGTTTCTTTTTGTCCTTCATGTCCTTTTTGTCCAACATGTCCTGAGCTAATATTTGGGCTCAGGTTTTGGTGTTCTAACATGGTTCTGGCAGCCATTCAGTGTTCCTAGTCCAAGTCAGTCACGTGTTGCTTTAGGCTGTGTCTCCCGGCCTGGGTTCCCTTCATTCTAGTGCCTTCCACCTCTCCTCCTTCCTGGCAAGTCTTGTTTTGTTCTTTGTGGTTAGTTAGCTTCAGGGAGCCATTTGGGGGGCCCATTCCAGAAACCCCGTGTTGAATGTAATGAAATGTCTCTTTCTTGAGGATATCCAATGGCTCTACGATTTCCTTCCCCTCCCTCCAGGTTCATTGGTTCATTGTTAGGTTGTTCACCACCTCCCAAACTGACTAGGAGAGCCGGTTGACAGCTGGGGCCGGAATCCTTGGTGGGGGTTATTGGTACTAAGAGGTTTCAAGCTAGTTTGAGTTGTTCTTGTGTGAATCAATTGCAGAATTGTTTGGCAGTTTTGAGGTTCTATTTTCTGTGAACCATCCAGTTGTCTGTAAAGCTTCGCTAACTTCCTGGATGCTTTTTCCAGTGTGGTGGTGAATTGTCACTTGCTCCCTGTGCCTCCATGAAGGGAAGGGAGCCAGATTCTGGCTCCCTTCCCTTGTAAGCCAAATAGAACCTCCGTGACTGATGTATGGAGCCATCTCAGTAAAATAGCATCAGGGAGCCACCTGGGCTACTTCAGAAAGAGGCATTTAATTACATTCAATGCTGTTTTTTTATGTAATTGTTTCCTTCAATTGCTTAGAAAATTACAAAATCTTTACAAAAATACAGTACAGTATTAAAATAATTTAAAATACTGAAATATTGTATTACTTAAAAATCCAATGCATAATTCAGTTTATAATATTATGGGATATAATATTGTACTAAAGAATTACAGGTATGATAGAAGTTATCTTAATTATAGGACAGGTGTGGAAGCCATTGTGGAGAGTCAGTGGTGGGCAGCAGGATTTGGTGGCACCAAAAAGCATGAAGGAGTTCCATGTCCTAACTTCAGAGATCTTATAAAACTTTACCCATTCCTTGCTTTGAAAGTGATGGATAATTGTACTTCAGCATCTGACACCACAACCAGTTCAACCTACTATGATTTCAGAATATTTGAGGATAATTATTGCATCACTGAAGGTAATACTATTTATAAATCTTTATTTACTTGTCTGCACTATACACTAATAAAACAAATACAGTGTACAATTAATAGGCATTAAAATACTGTATGCAGCACTAAAGAATTTTCTTGATCCAGCTAACACTATACCCTGTTGTAAGGATACACAATATGGTAATTACAATCTTGTAAAGCCACTAGTACGCGCAGCGTTTCGGGCAGGTCCTTAATCTAAGAAAATTTTAAGTAGGTAAATACTTGCAAAATTTATAAAAAATTATAACAGTTACATGGCAAGAAAAAAAAAGATGAGAGAAAATTGTAGGTATATTAAAGCACATAGGTAGCTCAGATTGATTGCAATGACAGCTTGAATGGTAGTTGACAAAAATTGGTACGCACAATACAGCTTATGGCTAACACATAAAAGAAGACAGCAATGAACACAATGATAAGGTTGTTTGGGTTAAGTACATAAAAATTGGGAGATTGGGTAACACTAGATACAGAGCAAATTAAAGCTCAGTGTAGGAAACTAAGAAGATGAAATTAGGTACTTTTTGGTTATGCTTTTAAATAGGCAAAAGTTTGACAGCTTTTCAATTCACTAGGGAGTGAGTTCCATAGACTAGGTCCCTTAATTTGCATAGAGTGTTTACACAGATTAAGTTTGACCCTGGGGATATCAAAGATATATTTATTTCTGGTGTGGTGGTAATGGGTCCTATTACATCTGTCCAGGGAGAGTTTCAGAGCATGGTTTGCATTTAAGAACAGGGTTTTGTAAATGTAGTTGACACAAGAGAATGTGTGGAGGGAGTTAATATTTAGCAAGTTTAGGGATTTAAACAAGGGAGCTGAATGTTGTCTGAAAGCAGAGTTAGTTATTATTCTGAGAGCAGATTTTTGCTGGGTGATGATGGGCTTAAGGTGGTTTGCAGTGGTAGACCCCATGCGCAGATACCATAATTAAGATAGGGGTAGATTAGTGCATAATATAGTGAGAGGTGAGCAGAGTTAGGAACATAATATCTTATTTTAGAGAGTATACCAACTGTCTTAAAAGACTTTCTTAGTTATGTGTTGAATGTGGGTGCTGAAGTTGAGTCTCTTGTCTAGGAATAGGCCAAGAAACTTGCCATCATTTTATTTTATTACTACAATAGAGATTTTACAAAGTTTGTTGGCTTTATAGATAGAGCTAGTACATACAATGCCTAAAGCCACTATTACGCAAAGCGTTTCGGGCAGGAAAAACATTAATGACTAAAGCTTAAAACTAATGGGTAAAAAGAATAAGATGTGTTGAGTACAAATAAAAATAGAGGTAAAAGAAAACATTGTTGAAAAAGCAGCACAAATACAATTACAAATTATTACAGAAAATTACATTCAAACAGCGTTGATTTGAAAAACAAAAAAAACAAAAACATACATGGGTTGACAATAGAGAGGTAAGGTAGGTTACAGGGAATTTATTAGGTATAGCTTCGTTTTTAACTTAAACTGGTTGAGAGAGGTACAGTCTTTAACATGGTTGGGAAGGTCATTCCACATTCTGGGCCCCTTGATTTGTAGAGCATTTCTGGTTTGATTAAGTCGTACTCTAGGAATATCAAAACTGTATTTATTTCTGGTGTGGTGCTCATGGGTTCTGTTACAACCTTCTATGAAGCTTTTGAGATCAGGATTGGCATTATAGTTTAGCGTTTTATATATGTATAATACACATGAGAGAATGTGCAGTGACTTAATGTCTAACATATTCAGAGATTTGAGTAGGGGTACCGAGTGATGTCTGGGGCCAGAATTGGATATTGTCCTAATAGCAGCTTTGTGTTGAGTAATTAGAGGACGTAAGTGATTTTGGGTAGTAGAGCCCCAAGCACAAATACCATAGTTGAGATATGGATAGATAAGGGAGTAATAAAGAGTCACCAGGGCAGGGCGTGGTACATAATATCTGATCTTAGAAAGAATGCCCACAGTTTTTGAATCTTTTTTGATATGTTTAGAATGTGTCCCTGGAAATTCAGCTTGTGGTCAATGAGAATGCCAAGGAATTTGCCATCTAATTTGTTACAAATTTGGGTATTGTTTATTTTGAGATTTATTTGATTAGAGGATTTATTGCCAAACAGAATATAGAAAGTTTTGTCAATGTTAAGGGTGAGTTTGTTGGCAGTTAGCCAAAGATGGACTTTATTAAGCTCAGTATTTACTGTGGCATTTAGAGCAAGGGGATCAGGACTGGAGTAAATGAAGGTTGTGTCGTCAGCAAATAGAATTGGTTTGAGGTGTTGGGAGGCATTTGGAAGATAGGGATAGATTAGTGCATATAGTGAGAGGAGAGCAGAGTTAGGAACATATCTTATTTTGGAGAATATTCCAACTGTTTTAGAGACTTTCTTAGTTATGTGTTGTATGTGGGTACTGAAGTTGAGTCTCTTGTCTAGGAATAGGCCAAGAAACTTGTTTTATTACTGATGTTAATGTTGTCTATCTGTAGCTGAATTGCATTTGATGATTTGCTTCCAAATAAGATGTAGTAAGTCTTTTCTATGTTTAGTGTTAGTTTGTTAGTTGACATCCATAAGTGGACTTTTTTTTTAATTCATTATTCACAATATTATTTAGTGTATGTGGGTTGGGGTCTGAATAGATGAGGGTAGTGTCTTCAGCAAACAATGTAAGTTTAAGAATATTAGAGACATTAGGCAGATCATTGATATATATAAGAAATAGAAGAGGTCCTAAAATGCTACCCTCTGACACTCCAACGGTTATTGGTAGAGTGGAAGAGGTTGTATCATTGATGGTTACACATTGGTGTCTGTCACTAAGATAGGATCGGATGTAGTCAAGGGCAAGGCCTCGGATTCCATAATGCTGTAGTTTAAGCAAGAGGTAGTTGTTAAAGTAAGAGGTAGTTGTGATTAACAGTATCAAAGGCTTTTCTTAGGTCAATGAAGAGTCCAATTGGAAAACTCATTTTTGTCAAGGGCTGAGTAAATTACGTCAAGGAGACTAATGATTGCATCATTGGTGCTCTTTTGGGACCGGAAGCCAAACTGGCTGGGCTGAGTATGTCGAAATTTTACGAGGTAGGAATAGAGCTGTTTGTAGATAATTTTTTCAAATATTTTTTTATAGAATGGGTAGATTTGAAATTGGTCTATAATTGTTTATGTCCGCCGGATTGCCTCGTTTATAGATTGGCGTTACTCTTGCTTTTTTAAGGATATCAGGGAAGGTGTGACACTCTATAGATTTGTTGAACAGCAGAGCTATAGGTAGCGCAAGGGCATGGGAGGCGCTCTTGTACACAATGGATGGAATTTCACTGATGTTCCCAGCTTTGGTTTTTAGTGAGTGTATGATGGACACAACATCTGTCGGGCTGACTGGTGAGAGGAGAAGAGTGTTTGGATAGCTGCCTGAGAGATATGTGTTAATATGTGTCTGAGTCTGTGGGATTTTACTGGTAAGATTAGCACCAACCGATGAAAAGAAGCTATTAAATTCATTTGCCATTTCTAAATCAGTTGACGTTGTATACCCATCCTTATAGAGTTTTATTTGGTTATGTGAGTGTTGTTTAGTTCCTAGGATATTAGAGATGGTTTTCCATGTGCTTTTCATGTTGCCTTTTGCTTCATTGAATCTATTCACATAATATGCAAGTTTTGCCTTTCTTATGATACTGGTAAGCATTGATGAGTACCTTTTAGCTACTTCCTTTGAAACTAGGCCAATCCTAAGTTTCTTTTCATATTCATGTTTCTTGTTGATTGAGTTGAGAATGCCACTTGTGAGCCATGGATTGTTTAATCTTTTGTCAGTTACTTGCTTGGTAAGAAGTACTGTGTACTGTGTGTAAGAAGTACCTGTACTGCGCTATTCACTCGTCTATTCATATTTTACGTAAGTTGTCTTTGCCCGGGGATGTATTACTCAAAACTACCTCAGAAATAATTATTGGGTGTAAGGGGAAAGGAATTAGATGGGAATGGAATGAGGAGAGAGAAATTAGAAAGAGGGGTGGAAGGGGGTTTGTAGTGTGGTGGCCCAGTGGTACAGCACTCAGCTTTGCAGCATATATATGTACATACTTTTTTTTTTTAGATATATACAAGAGTTGTTACATTCTTGTACAGCCACTAGTATGCGTAGCGTTTCGAGCAGGTCCCTGGAATACGATCTCCGCCGCGAAGAATCGTTTTTTCATCCAAGTACACATTTTACTGTTGTGTTAAACAGAGGTTACAGTTAAGGAATTGCGCCCAGTAAATCCTCCCCGGCCAGGATACGAACCCATGGCATAGCGCTCGCGGAACGCCAGGCGAGTGTCTTACCACTGCACCACGGAGACTGTTAAGTTAAGTTACTGTACATACATACATAAACACACATATATACAGAGTTTAAAAGTTGGTTTAAAACCTAACTACACAAAGCTGCTGAAGAAATACAAGAAAATTCACTTTCACAAACAGAATGGTAGACTGTTGGAACAAGTTAGATTAGGTGGTGGTGGAGGCCAAAACCGGTAGTAATTTTAAAGTGTTATATGACAAAGAGTGCTAGGAAGACGGGACACCACGAGTACATGGACGTTCTTAAAGCTCTTGATAAGGGACCACATGAAAGACTGGCAAGGAAATTACAGGCACATGGAATAAATGGCAGAATACTAGAATGGATAAAACAATGGAAAAAACAAAGACAGTAATGAGTCGCCCTAAACGGAAATGAATGTGACTGGAGAAATGTGGTGAGTGTGGCACCACAGGAATCTATTTTGGAACCAACTTTTTTGTCACACACATCAGTGATGTAGATAAGAATATTACAATCCATATAAACTTTACAGATGAAACAAACATTTAAGGGAAAATAAATAAGTGAAATTATATTGAAGCCTTGCAATATGAACTCCACTAATTGTCGGAAGACTGGCAAATGCTTTTTAATTTTGAAAAATGCAAGACCTTGCATGTGGGGCGTAACAATGCACATTACAAATTCATATTTAACAATACCTTGCAGCAGATTAATGAAGAAAACGGATCTTGGAGTCAAAATACACTAAT